CGCATTGAATCAAAGGTTGTTGACATTTCAGGACAATACGTAAAGCCTTTCCAAAATAGACGGGCCAAACTAAAGACGGAAAAAGGAAAGCCCTCTTTATTCTGGAAGTCACTAACCAGTATTTTTATTGGGGATATTATTTAGAGAAATGGTCTTGCATGGTTGTAGGACTTCAAAAATATCACTTTTAAATTTGTGACGGATTTACATAAAAGTCAAGTCCTACACCCATGTAATAATTTTTGTTAACTTGTTTAGAGATCCGTAGATAATTTTTGATAACTTTTTTAGATATCTATACCGATCTTTTGATAATTGTTTTAGATATTTATACCGATTTTAATGGTGATCCTTTAAAGTCTTAAATACATAGGTGGGGTAGGCTCCTATAGGATCATTGCTCATTTATCAAATAGTGAGGTTAGAACACGGTACCAATTTTATACTATACAAATAAGGCCCACCTCTAAATTTTGCCAAAAAACGTAAAACCAGTGTCAACAATCTTACGATGGTTTTGAAAATCTATATTCAAACCTAATTATAAAATTTAAAATTTTAAAAATAATGCAAATCGAATAGATCTATATGATCTTAAAAATATTGACCTGCCTCTCCTGCAGCAATTTGGGAAAAAAAAAAAAAAACGAGAAAGATGTGTATCCACTGTTGGACTCATCTGAATGTGATACATTTCTCAAGAATTCAATATTTCCAAATGCTTTTATCTTATTTAGAGAAAACAATAAGTATAAGACTTCATATATATAATTCTTTCGTAAGTGCCTCTAAGTTGAGAAAATAATACACCCAACTCTTTTGTGGGTGCCTCTAAGTTGAGAAAATAGTACACCCAACTCTTTTGTGGGTGCCTCTAAGTTGAAAAAGCAATGCGAGTGATGAGACCTATTGTCTTTAGTTGAAAAGGTCGTAAGTTGTGTGCGGGTGGCCTCCAAGTTGAAAGTCCTAGTAAAAAGTTAAAGCAAGGGTCAGGTGGGGCGGCTACTAAGTTGAAAAAGCATTAGTCAAACAAAAGTCCCAGAGGTGACTCCCTCTATTTTCTATAGTATAAATACTAGGAGGTAAGACTATGTATTCTCCATATTAGAAGTAATTAACAAGTCTTCATTTCTAATTCTTTTGTGGGTGACCACTAAGCTGAAAAAATCATACAAATAACACGTCTCAACTCTCAAGTGACCACGAAGTCGAAGAAGTACTAAAGTTTGTATTATTCCATCTCTTCGTTGAAAGAGTATACCTAATACACTAAAGAGTCTAAAGGAATGGGGTTTGGTCATGGTGGTTGCACCTCACACCTAGTTACCACGTTTTCCCACTAACACCTCCGACTCGCACTTTTCAAAAAGCTAACTCTTTAATATGAAAAAACCGCACTTTTCAAAAAGCTAACTCTTTAATCTGAAAAAACCGCAAGGACATGTCTTCCCGATTGAATTACCTAAAAAAATCTAATGAGTCTATTAAAATCGAATGAGTCTATTTGAGTAGTGAGTTCAAGAGAGAATTCCATACTTCATAGATAGAGTCAAGAAATCCGCTTTACTAAAAAACCGCAAACCATAATCAATTAAACTGATACATCTTTACCAATTATTGGTAAAAAAACTAACGAGTTGTATCACTCAAGTTCTTGGGTGACCTCCTAGTTGAGAATGGTACTTTTTATGAGTTTAGAAAGTATTAGTAATTATCATCATTATTATTTAGGCCTTATTCCAACAACATAAAGTATTAGTAACAATTATCATCATTAATTAGGCTTTATCCCAGCTACTTAAGATCAGTTTTTAAAAGTATGGGTAATTATCGATTGAAAATCGGGGAGCCTAACCCCTAGCTTCCAAGCTTCTTGATGGTCCCAAACTGAGGAATAGCCTTGGCCTATATAAAACCAAGAACCAAAGAATCGGCTCGGATGTTCAACTAAGCAATTCAGTATAATGAACAACCGGACAATTCCTGACCGGTTTTTTTCATATCTTTCCCTTTTCGTTTACAACTTTTAGGCAACTCGCTCAGAGACGAACAGCAACTCGGAATCCACAGGCATACACGACGAACGCGAGTCTGCAATTCATTCTAGTTTTTTAAACACTAATGAGTCGCATCGCTTAATTTGTTGGGTGACCTCCTAATTGAAAAGGTAATAACGAGTCTAATCACATCATTTTGATGGGTCGCAGGGTCTGAGCAAGCCGGCTTCCTAACAGCTGTAAAATGGAGGTATTCCTCATAAATTTCATTGGATTTCGGCAATTTTTGGGTTTCAACACCTAGTCCTCTACTTCTATTTATGGGATGACACTATGGGATCATAACTGTCTATTAAAACTTAATAAAAATTGGAAAAAGTTTATATAGAGCCTAGGCTAAACAATCAAATGAGCTTACGTAAAAAATTGAACCTAGAAGATGTTGTTTTGATGCTCAAATATTCTCAAATTGATCATCTCCGCATCAAGATGCATAGACAAAAAAAAAAAACTGGATTTCAAGTTTGAGAAATAATGCATATTGTAATGTATTTTTTATCCTTCAATTTTTTAAGATTTTCAAATTTTCATAGATATGTTTGATCTATACTATTTTTGAAGCTTAAAATTTTATAATTAAAGATGAAAATATATTTTAAGGCTATCACAATCAATATTGAAACCACATTTTTCGACATTAATTGAAGGTGGGCTCTACATACCGCATCCATAAAAATTCAGATTTTAAAGGTTCACAAAAATCCATAAAGTTTTTCAATTAAACTTAAAAATTAACACTCGAAAGATAAAAGGAAACCAACAATTTAGAACACTGAAAAACTTTAGAAAATATAAAGAAAATTGACATAGTAATAAAACCTATAGAGTTAATAATTTTTGAATGAGAAATAAACCACCTAGAAAAAAAGGTAAACTATCAAAGTACACTTAATTTATTAAGTGTTCAACCTCATGATTGAAAGAAATAGAAAAACAATATATAGCTTATCGCTTGGATACATTTCAATAAATTTCACAAAAAATGAAAAAAAAAATCAGCAGTTCAGGAGAAGCCACAAAAGATAGAAGTAGATCATAAATTAAAAAGAAAAAGTTTATATAACTGTAAATCTGAAAAATAGTGCACCTACGATCTAAACCATCCATTTGCAAGTTTTCCAAGTGGTCTATAATATTTGTGAAGCTTTAAATTTTATACTTCAATATGAAAATAGATTTTTGTATATCTTTAAATTTTATGCTTCAATATGAAAATAGATTTTTGTATATCTTTAAGCATCATTTGGATGTGCATCTTTGATGGCAAATTAAAACTACTTGTGAATAATGAAAAAAGTGGTGCAAAATAGAAACCTAATAAAACAATCTTTATCCATTTCATGAACGAAATTTAAAAATTCATTATGAAATTTCCAAAAAATTTGGCTACGACTGGATAACAACCAAAATTTGCTGAGACCGAGAAATTTGGACCTTGGTCAAAGATATATGGATATTTATCAAATACTAAGGATCAGGCCTAAAAAGTGGAACAAACTTTTTTTTTATTTTTTATTTTTTTAAGGTGACAAAGACTAAATATTTTATTTGGTTTTACCAAGTAGAGAGAAAAGTTTTATTAAGATTCATCGAAACCCTTCCCTATGGAGAGGACCTAGTTTAACTAGGTGATTTAACTTAAGCTTGTTTTGATTATGTGTATATATAAAAAAATGATCAAATCTAGATCAATCACACTGTTTTCATTATGTATGTATATATAGAAAAACGGCCATTCGAAAAAAATCTTTTAGATCCGTTTACTAATAACTCCAAAACTCCCCACCTAAATATCCAAAGTACCCCTACCTGTCGTTAGGGGTTTGTCACGTAATTTGCGCATCACTGATCACCGTGTGGAAAAGTTTAAAAAGAAAAGGAATCGTAAAAACAGAAAAAACAATTCTTACTCCAAAAAAAGAAATAAGCGATCGATAAAATAAGGGAGCAACAAAATTAGAATAAAATTATTATTCGAAAGAGATATTATCAAAAGTTTATCCACTTAAAAAATGGAGAGACATATGGCTTATCACCAATAGATATGGACCATTTATTTCTTTCCCAATAAATTAGAAAGTCCATCAAATAGACAATTACAGCGAATCATGTCCAAAAAATGGAATAAAATTAAGGACAATAATTAAGAAAAAAAATTGAGAAAAAGAAACAAAGAAGAAAGACCAAAAGAAAGAAAAGCACATATAAGATTCAAAAGATAAATATAAAAAAAATAAAAGCCAGAAAAAGCAAGAAAAGTAAAGATGAAATTTAAAGAAATAATTACAGGAAAAAAGAGCAAGAAAAATATAGTAAAGGAATTGAATTGAAAAAGGACATATGGAATAGGATGCTGGTAATTAAAATTAGTAAAAAATCAGATGAAAATAAAGGTCGTGGTTTTGGCGGCAGGAGCATTAATTCAAAAAGCTTTATAACGCCAAATAAAATAATTAAAGTAATTATTAGCACGGCTCTCGGAGGCGATTTAATTAAAGTCGCAGATTTTTGCAGAGCAAAAACAAGCCACCATTACAACGAAGAATGCGGAGCAAAACATATGTCCAATAAAGCAAAAAAAATGAAAAAGGGAGATTGATAGATTTCAAAGAGAAAACAAGCGTAATTGATATGAAAAAACAATTGATTTGTAAATCGAAGTGGTGATTAAATCTCCCACAAAATGGCCATACCAAAAACAATGCAGCCTAATAAGAACCCCATAAAATTACAAAAAACACGATAAAAGATCGATTTTGCAATAATAAATAGACCCAATATCGATAAAGAAAAAGGAAATTAAACTAACCCAATATAGATGAATAAAGAGGAAATTAAACAGAGAAAAAACAGGACAAAAAGGGAAGACATTCCATACACAGAGGACAGAGAAGAGAAGAAAATAACAAAAGAAATAACGGAGAAAGGCTCATTGGATTGTACCGCGACCGTAACGCCACGGAAAACATCGAGAGAGACCAGGCGCTGCTGCAAGGGGGAATCCGAGACCGAAATAACATTCTTCTGTCCGTTTTTGACAGAGTTCTCCCTGAACTGGGCGTTCTCGTTGGCCAATTCTGCCTCGCCCTCTTTGAACCCGTCCTCCACCGTTATGTAAGTCTTTTTAACATCCCCAACGCCGTTGTCATCGCCCTTAATGAGCTCGTAAGAACCCATGGCCCCTGAACCAGGATAAGCTTATCTGTGGATCGAAGGGCAATGCTGAGCCTGCGCCCAACAGACCACGGATGGACGGTCCAGATCTATAGATCGCACGTGCACGACCGGTTCAGCACGTGCGGTCCTAGACCAGGATCTCTCCCTCTCTCTGGTACAAAGAATGGGAGAGAGAGTCCCTTTCAGAAGAGAGAGAGAGAGAGGTTTCGTTTTATGAGAGGGAGAAGGGTCCCTTTTATTAACCGTCTTCGCCCTTTATTTTATTCTTTTCTTTTCTTTTTTGGGATTTTTTTATTGGCTATTTTGGCACCCAATATTATTAATTTTCCACTAAAACTTAGTGCAAGGAAATATTAGTGGAATATCTATTAATAGGGTGGATTGATGAGCCTCCTCTTTTGTATTTATCCCTTGTCCTTGAGAATTTCTTTTGTTTTTTGAAAATTGAGAGAGTGCAGTGTCCCTTAAATTAACCGCCCCTCCAATCATCCTATTGGAAAAAGTTTATGTAAGGCCGAGGCTCTAAACAATCAATTTAGGGCAAAAATCTTCAAATTAATCATCACTTATTCTAAGATGGTCATGGAAAAAAATAGATTTCAATTCCTGGAAATAATGAATTTTGTAATGTATTATGGGATAGTCAATTTTTTAGATTTTCAAATGTTTATAGATCAGCTTGATCTACACTATTTTTAAAGTTTTAAATTTTATAATTGCATGTAAAAATAAATTTTCAGACCATCGTAAAGATTTCCATAATTGAAACAAAGTATCGAAAGTAGTCTTACTTTGATTGTTTAGAGCCTCGATCTTATACCACACCCTTATCTATTTATTTTTAACTATGATTTTTTATTTTTTATTTTTTAGTTGCTTTGTATACTATTTTACCACCTATTTTTTTATTGATATTCAACTCAAAAATATTGCAAAAAAAATATGGGTGGAATATTAAATTATGGGCGGCTAAAATGTCCATCTCTCTTCTATATTTGTTGCTTATTTTTAGTGGCCATTTTTTATTTTGGGTTTTTCTCTTGTAAAATATAAATAAATAAATACAGATTTAGAAAAATAAATAAATAAATTGTTTTTTTAAAAAAAAATGTTAGTTTGGACTCTTTTTAGCCGAAAACCCCGCTTTCCGTTTCGAATTCTCGACCAAAATATCTTCAAGCGGAAACCGGCCGACATTTCGGTGTTAAGTATTTTGGGAAAGCTCCGCGAAAGCATAGAGAATATGCACAGGGTTTACTTAATTTTTTAATTAGAAAAAGCTTCCCATAATGCACTTAACTCAAAATAATGTTTTACCCCCCCTTTCCCCAAAACAACACTTATATGATACAACTACCAAAGACATTAATGAAATGATTAGAACTTGGTGATAATTCGAGTGCCTGATAAAAAATTGGGGGAATATAGATTTCTTTTGTTTAATTTTTAAATTTTAGTAATTGATGAAAAAAATGATGAAATCAAAAACTGAGAACTCATGGTTTTAAAAATTGTCAGAAATTATTTATGTGATTTTAAAATGACTTGTCAAGTAAATTTTTGAAAAAAAAAACAGAGAACTGGTGGGTTTTTTTTTTGTTTATGTTTTACTGAAATTTGGGATATAATGGTTATTACTAAAGAAATGGTCAATTATGGTAAAATCATCATTTCTCATAATTATGGGAAAAAAACGGATAGGTTTCAAGTGAATTTATAAGAAGTTAACTCAAATGGGGTTTTGAATGGTCAGAGATGACAGACTCTCAAAAGATGAGCCCAATCTCGGGTTTTAACCCAAACCCAGCTAAGTTGATTATTTGTGCTCTAAATTTGTTTGCAACCCTTCTTTAAACTTTGGACCCGGTTACTATACGCATGTGTAGAAATGCGGGCTTCTTAATAAATTTATTTTAGAGATGGATTTTAAGATTTAGTTTTTAAGGACATGCAATATCTAACATGAAGTTCATGGATATGAAAAAATAAATAAATTTAAAAAATAAAAATAATAATTCTAGGAAGAAAACATTTGGCCCGTTAGTTTTTATTGTTTTTAGATGGAACACCTACTTGCATCCATCCATCTTTAAGATGGATGCTTTATACTCTTTGGACTGCATATGTATATTGAGACAAAAAAAACTTTCCTTAAAAATTTGAGACAAAACTACTATGTGCTCTTGCTGGAGCATAAATACACTTAATCCTTCTCATAAATTTCACTCTAGAGGATTTTTTTTTCATGAAAAAATTTATGTAAGTGTGAGGCTCTAAACAATTAAATTAGTGCGCAGCTCAAAAATTTTATTAGAAGAGGTTGTTTTGATGCTCAAGCATCCTCCAATTGATCATCTTAACCTCAAGATGCGTGGACATGAGAAAAAAATAGATTTTAAGTTTTGTAAATAGTGCATCTTGTAATGCATATTTGGGTCATCAATTTTCAAGTTTTCATACATTTGCTCAATCTATACTATTCTTTAAGCTTTAAATTTTATAATTAGAGATGAAAATATATTTTAAGACTATCACAAAGCTTTCAAGTATTGAAACCACATTTCTCAATACTATTTGAAGGTGCACTTTACTTAATTGTTTAGAGCCTCGGTTTTATACAAACCCTATCCTTTTTTATATGTTAAATGTTGGGATTAAATTTAGAATCACTAGATAAGTATTTATAAAATAAGAATTAGACTTTGGATTCATAGCACTTAGATCTGGTTCTCAAAACATTGGATAATTTTTTGAAACATCCCCAAATTATGGGGTCCTACAAAGGTTGAACTCCAAGGAGTAAACGTATATTATGCTCCTGTGTCGAATATGTAATTTCTTGGTAAAGGTTTCCATCAATTTAAAAATTTTTGAACTTTAGTTTAGTCAATCAAATCAGTCAAAGTAAACGTATATTATGCTCATGTGTCGAATATGTAATTTCTTGATAAAGGTTTCCATCAATTTAAAAATTTCTGAACTTTATTTTAGTCGATCAGATCAGTCAAAATTAGATGGTCCTATCATTTAAAATTATAATTTCAATTGAACAGACATTTTTTATTCTAGACCGCCCCAACCCATTGGGTGGTCCCGATAGTGGTCCGGCCCTAGTAACCGGAGCTAGATATCATTGCTCGCCCAAACTCAGTGTCAAACGAAAATTTCCGCTATTCTCCTACTATTTTAGTAGACCCCACTTAAGTCCTATATAACTACACAATCATATTATATTACAATGCAATAACAAAGAATGATGATTTCTTTCTCCCATTTGTACTCCTTTAGACCACTTGAGCCCAACGCCACGTAGGCGTTAAGTAAAGCTTATCGTCACTAAGGTGGACCCGCAGGTTATTATAGTTTATTACTTTTCTTTACAGTTGGACCACAAATTCTACCTTCTAGTGGTACGGAATTATGAATGCAGCTCTCTCTTGGATCTTTTCTTAACAAAGTGGCATTCATTTTGTAACCAATAACACAATCATTGTTTACTTGTATAAATCATTCTCTCTCTCATGATCTACTATTATTTACAAGATCTATCTCTCTCTCATGAACTACTTTTAAGTTTGGGACAATGGATCGGTCGGGTCTGGCACAACATGGACCCAAATTCAACTGGACCTAGACCTGGACCCAAAAAGATAACGTGGGACTTGAACCTGACCGGACCTAACCCAAAAAATAAAATATCTAATATTTAAATATATTTCATATATTGAGAATCGAAAAATATTACCTAAGCCCAACTAGATCCAGATCCAAATAGTAATCGAGTCTAAAACTTGAACCCAACCCTAACCCATTATATCCAATTTTTAAACCTATTACCAAACTTGGATCGGAGTTTGTCCCTCGGGTTCCGAGTCGAACCAGGTCCATTACTACCCCTACACCTAACAAACCAAAATTTAAAGTAACGTACAGCATCCTTTCTAGTTTTGAAAATGGCATTTCTCACCCTCTAGCTTCTCATGTCCTTCTTAATCCTCACCAAGGGCATAAAATGAGAGAAGCATCATTGAGAATTAAACTCATTGAGTCACTGTTTGATTTTCTAGGTTATCATTTGAGTGAGAATAAAAAGAGAGTTGGATGATGTCTTAAATGGGTTTCTAAATTTAAAAATTTATATTTAACACTAGTAATTTTGTAAAAGAAAAAAGAGGGATTCAAAACAACCATAAAACCAATCTAACAATTCAAACAAATAATAATGATAATAATAATAACAACAATAATTATACTAATAATTTTTTTAAAAAATTATCAAACTTCAAGATTCACCCCAAGCGACAAATCTAATGAGTGAAAATGATTGTGACCTCCACGAACATAAGATAAATTATCTGTTTATAGATAATCTCTTACAATTATAGAAAAAGTATACAATGAGATTATTTATCTTTAGTACAAAGTGGTCACTATTAATCTTGACCATTAAATGTGGGAGAATTATTTGGTGCATCCAATCCCGCACATACTATATGGGCTTGAAGATCTACATCATCTACACTAAAAAATATAGATCTACACCTTAAATAATAGTCCTCCTAAGAAAAAGCAAAATATACAATTCAAATATTTTTTTTAAAAAAATATCATTTATAGTTTAAAAAATTTATCTACTTTTACAAACTAATAATCTACAAGTTAAAGAATATATATTTTCTAAAAATTAGGAATTAATTTTATTTCAAAAATAAATTATTAAGAGGTCCATATTTCTACATATGAGTATGTGAAGATGTATTTATTCTATTGATAAAACTCAAACTTCAAAATAAAATTTTTCGTATTTTACGATACATCAAAACTATCAAATTTTAGATTAATTGTAGCCGCTTTGTGCCATAATTAAATGATCTCCTGCAATCCCAAAATAATATACCTAATAAAGTTATTTCATTATTAAAAGACATTGTCGCGGAGGTTACACTCGAGTAATTTCCTTTTCCTCTTGGGGTAATAACGTCATTTCAAAGAGACGCGACCACCGACTATGTAACGCCCAAAGCTCAAGTGCTATCCACGTGTCGTAGCCAACAAATATTATTTGCCTTTTCGTTGTTTATTGCCAATTGAAAATGCTTAAAAATATTTAAAAAATAAAATTAATAATTTATCTTGTATGAATGTTGCCGCCCCCAAACTTCCTTGTTGGTCCTTGAAATTCTGCCCCATGTGGCACAAGGGACGT